CGAGTCACGCGCTCGGGTGTGACGTGAGCGGGCAGACGTGGGGCAGGGGGGGGTGGGGGTGGGGCATGGGGGTGGGTGGGGGTGGGGCATGGGGGTGGGTGGGAGTGGAGGGTGCGGCCGAGTCACGCGCTGGGTTGTGACGTGGGGCATGGGGGTAGGGGGTGGGTGGGGGTAGGGCATGGGGGTGGGAGCAGAGATTCACGAGACGGGGCACCCAGTCACTCACCTACCCACCCATCCACCCAGTCACTCACCTACCCACCCATCCACCCAGTCACTCACCTACCCACCCATCCACCACCCACCCATTCACCCATTCACCTACCCACCCATTCACCTACCCACCCATTCACCCACCCACCCATTCGCCTACCTACAAAACCCATTCACCTACCCACCCACCCGCTCACTCAAGCTCCCATTCATTGATTCACTCACTCACTCACCCACTCGCTCACACTCTCACTCATTAATTCACTCACTCACCCACTCACGTATCCGTTCGCTCGCTCACGGCACGCACTCATTCATTCACTCGCCCACCCCCTCGTTCATTCACTCACCCACTCGTTCATTCACCCACCACCCGTTCGTTCACTCGCCACACCCATCGTTCATTCACTCGCCCACCCACTCGTTCATTCACTCACCCACTCATTCATTCACTCACCCATCGTTCATTCACTCACCACCCACCCGTGCATTCACTCGCCCACCCACCCGTTCATTCACTCACCCACCCACCCGTGCATTCACTCGCCACCCACCCGTTCATTCACTCACCCACCCACCCGTGCATTCACTCGCCCACCCACCCGTTCATTCACTCACCCACCCACCCGTGCATTCACTCGCCCACCCACCCGTTCATTCACTCACCCACCCACTCGTTCATTCACTCACCCACTCGATCATTCACTCACCCACTCGATCATTCATCACCTAGCCATGTACTCACCCATTCACCATCTCGACTCACCCTCCAAGGTGAGTCGCGTGGCGAGCAGATAAAGACAAAGTCCCCCCGTGTAGCCTACACAGACTGTTGGGACAAGTGCTGTTAGCGAGCAGTAAGGGGCCATCCATTGAGTACGTACGCATGGAGGGGGGAGGGGGCGTTGACCCAATGCGTTCGCTTGCCTATGGCGGGGGGGGGGGGGGTCTGCTGACAATGTGCGCATAGGACACGGGGGGGGGGGCGGTGAAGCCTCGATAATAATGTGTCTACATTGGCCTTCAACTGAGTTAGATAGTCCGACGGTGGACATTCTGTCAATATTATTAATCCTTCATCGTTTCTTCGTTGATTCAATATCGGACATTCTATAGGATTCGGGGTGGGGGGGGGGAGTGTAAAAAGTCCGCGTGCGTACAGGGAGGGAGGGAGGGGGGGAGGGGTCAAGTTTCGACAGATTTTTGCCACCGACTCAATGGATGCCCCTGACCTGTGAAGGCCGGCACGGCGGCACACGATGGGCCGGGTTAGCCAGCACCACGCCCGGCCGCCTTTGTCTCCCTCGCGGACGTGCTTTACACACACTGCACCAGCTACTCGTTTGAGGCCGAGCCGACCTAGGGAGGCCCATAACGTTACACACAGACACTGATGCCGTGATGTGGTGTCTCTCTCCCTCGGGGCTTCAGAATAATCGCGAGGAGGAGAAGACGACGAAGAAGAGGCGAGAGATTAGAGAGGAGGAGGACTCGCCCCTCCGAGTTGCGAGTTCGGAGAGGGGCGAGGGGCAGGGAGCCACGATGACTACGCCGAGCTTACCGCCAGCTCTCCTGCTGGGCTGCCTCCTCATCCAGGTTGGTGTGTACGTGGGGTGTGTGTGTACGTGGTGTGTGTACGTGGTGTGTGTGTACGTGATGTGTGTGTGTGTGTGTGTGTGTACGTGTGGTGGTGTGTAGGTGTGTGTGTGTACGTGGTGTGTGTACGTGTTTAGTGGGGAGTGGCAGTGTAGTGGTTAGCGCTACGCTGCGCTACGAGGCGCGGCAGTCCGGAGTTCGATTCCCGCTCACGGCCAACACCAGCGACGATTATCTGAACCGGTCCTGGGCCTCGCCTAGGTCGACTCAGCCTCAAATGAGTACCTAGTGCGGTGTGTGGTAAACATCGCCACTGGGGAGACAAAGGCGGTCGGGCGTGGTGTTGGCCTTCATAGGTGCTCGCTAACAGCACTTGCCCCGACAGTCTGTTAAGCCTACACGGGGGATATTTGTCTGTGTGTATATCTGTATGTATATGTCTGCATATTTATGTAAAATGCAGATATGGGATTAGTCACTACTTGTGGAATGTGTAGGTGATTGGGGGGTCTCAAGTCATATTACATTGACTTAAAGCTTTTGTGCAGGAATTCATATTATTTGGGTCTTTCAGTATAGTCACCTATCTAGTGACTTTGCTGAAAGACCCAAAGAATATAGAAAAACATGAATTGTGTTAAGATGTTCAAACCACAAGGCCTTAGCCATGGAGTCAACATTGGGGGGGACCAAATCTCCCAGGGGGCCTTGGGGGTCTCAACCCAAAAAATATCTACATTTGAAAACTAATTTCCTGCCTAAAAATATTTAAAAATTCACTAACACATGGGATGACTTTTTTTTTACAATAATGTCTAATAGTGTATTGTATTACATTGCTCTGTTTTTACTTTTTTACCATTTCTTGTTTCATTGTATGTAATGTTTAAGATTATGGATTCATAAAGTACAACCATAATCATATAAACAGAAATCTATGCATTGATTTTTTTATGAAGACAAGTCCAGATATTGTGGCCAAGGTTTAGCAATTGTTGCTTTTATTTACATAGCATAGCAATAATTATGACTTTTAATATTTTAATAGCAATATATTGGGGGGGGACATTTTGAGCATATTTGAATATTGGGGGGGGGGGCAATATATATTATAATTAAGGCCTTGGTTCAAACACCCAATTAGATACCTTACTGCATTAGCCACACACACTACTCGTGGCAAAACATGCAAACCAACGTGCTCTGATAACACTGGTCAACAAAAAAAAACATTTCTGGCCTGGACTTTTCCAGCTGTTTTAGACTAATTTCAGGGTGCTGATTCCAAATCTCATCTCAGATTTGCTCTATCACATCTCATTTTATGCTATCGGCATACCCCATTTTCATTGATTTTACCCGAAATTAACTCTGTCACTTATGATTGCAAGTTGTTGCGAGTCAGTGACTGCTTTAGTGTTAAAATACGGTGCTGTATTTTTAGGATAGTGTGTTTATAATATAATTTTATGTAGATATCCACATTTATTTAATATTTTTCTTTTGCAGTTTTTTATTGAAAATGCAATATTTGATTCTCAAAAACCTGATGTGATAGACAAAAACTGATGCCAGATTTGGAATCAGCACCCCAAAATTACATTGAAACCGTTGGAATACCTTATGCCAGAAAAAGTGTGACGAGTGTAATGTATACATTGTCTTTGAAACTGATTGGGCTACACCAGACACTGCTTTCTCTTTATGGCCTAGTCTCACCAGCGGTGTTAGAACAGGGAAGGCCTGGTTCTCAAGGCCATAAACAAGCCAATCGCTTTTAAAGACAATGCAAACACTACTATCAGAGCATGTTTGTTTTCCACAAGGCCGTGTATGGTTATTGCAGACTTTTGATGCCTTGCAAAAAAGGTTTCTATTTGGGTGTTTGAACATCTTGGCACAACTCCTGTTTATTGCCCGAGGGTTGTCTCGCCCAGCCTTACACAAGGCCTCGGCAAGGCGAGGTAATTTACCCTTTTTACCGGGTAAAAGGGTAAAGGTAAAGGTGTCGACATGCCAAGGGGTAAGGCTAAAGGGTATGGTAAAGGTAGGCTCGTTGTTTTTACACTTTTACCTTACCTTGCCCGAGGCCTACTTACACACTCGCACCACACAAACAGCACGGCATGCCCTCCGCACTCGACATCACACACATCAATCGCGCGCACGGGTGATGCACCAGGGGAGCGTGGGAGGTCAGGGGTGACGCACACAGCACGGCCTTGGGCAGGGAATCGAGATGGGGGGGGGGGGGGTGTGAGCCCTGGTGGCGCACGACACGCAAACCCGACGGGTGGGTGGGTGACCACTGATCGGATTGGTGCGGAGAGCGGATCGGAGATGGGCGATTGGTGGAGAAGGGCGAATAGAAGGTTTAAAAGGGACTGTGGAACGAGGAAACGGGGTTGGTTGTGATGACGAGTGTTGCTGTGGTTTACGAGCGGCGATGGCGCAATAAATCAGTTGAAGTACACCGGCCCAAGTTTCCTTTTCACTGCGAAAAAAAAAGGTCCCATAGACTTGGGCCATCACGCCGCAGTGGCCGACTCTCGCCAATGGGGCGCCACGGTGGCTATGAGATGTTAACTACCTCGCCTGGTGTGCAGGAGGTCGTGGTTTCAAGCCCGACCCTGACGCCTGTTGTATATTTGAGTCTGCGTGTCTCTCTCTCATCATCATCATCACGGTAGCTAGGAGATGTTAACTACTTCACCTGGTATGCAGGAGGTCGTGGGTTCAAGCCCGACCCTGACGCCTGCTGCTGTATATTTTGAGTTTGCGTGTCTCTCTCTCATCATCATTTATCACGGTGGCTAGGAGATGTTAACTACCTCGCCTGGTACGCAGGAGGTCGTGGGTTCAATCCCAACCCTGACGATGCCTGCTGTATATTTGGAGTCTGCGTGTCTCTCTCTCATTATCATCAGGGTGGCTAGGAGATGTTAACTACCTCGCCTGGTATGCAGGAGGTCGTGGGTTCGAGCCCGACCCTGACGCCTGCTGCTGTATATTTTGAGTTTGCGTGTCTCTCTCCATCTCTTTCCCTGTGATCGCGTGGATTTTTCTCCGGGTCCTCTAGGGTTTCCCCCCCTCCACATTTAGAATCAACGTCGCGTGTATTTGTCTGCTGCTGTGAATGTCCACATGATGACATAAGCCCACTTTGTGAGCTGTCGTTTGTGATGGCCAGGTCGCTTCTGAAAAAGAGCTACAGAGCTCAGGGGGCCTTACCTGGTGAAATAAAAAAAATTTCGTTCAGGCTCCAGTGGATCTTTAACACCCACCGTCAAGAAGGCGGGCGGGCGCGTGGTAGTAGTATTGTTTTTGCGGTTAATACACACGACACATTCGGGCGTTTTGTGGTTTCTTATCTTCCGGCTGTACAATCAATCGGCGCCTCCTCCACACCACAGACCTCCCCTTTCAACCATCACCCCCAACCATCATGATCATCGTCATCACCACCGCCATCGTCATTATGATCACTGTTACCATTGTCATTAGCACCACCATCACCACTATTATCATCATCGTCACCGTCATCGCCATCACTTTTATCGTCATCATCCTCATACCAGTTAACCCCTTATGAGTGCCTCCCTGATTATAGACCAATCGAGACCTTATTAGTCAACCCGTGCCCTTATAAATGTCAACGTTCATCCTACAAAGTCCCATCACAAGGGAGAAACGCAACACAAATAGACAAAAAAACATGTTTTTGTCTGTAGTATTGAAACGGCTGTATGCCGTATGGACCTGAAAACTCAAATTTCCCTGCACAAGAATACGGGGGTAAACCGTGTGGGTAGACACGGTATGCTATCATCACCGTTGTCATCATCGTCATCATCACCACCACCATTGTCACCACCAACATCATCACCAGTATTGTCATTATCATCGTCGTCATGAGCAGCAGCCGGAGCCCCTTTACCCGAACTCGGAGCGAGATGAGAGATCGTGACGTCTCCCTTACCTGTCTCCTCGCTCACCTGTGCATCTCCCTCGCCCGAGGCTCTCGCCTGTCACTCTGACCGCCCCTCCTGTGTCTCTCACCTGTGCTTGTCTCACCTGTGCTTGTCTCACCTGCATCTCACCTGTGTTTGTCTCACCTGCATCTCACCTGTGTCTCACCTGTGTCTCACCTGTGCCCTTCACCTGTGACTCACTCACCTGTGTTTGTCTCACCTGCGTCTCACCTGTGTTTGTCTCACCTGCATCTCACCTGTGTCTCACCTGTGCCCTTCACCCTGTGACTCACTCACCTGTGTTTGTCTCACCTGCGTCTCACCTGTGTTTGTCTCACCTGCATCTCACCTGTGTCTCACCTGTGTCTCACCTGTGCCCTTCACCTGTGACTCACTCACCTGTGTTTGCCTCACCTGCATCTCACCTGTGTTTGTCTCACCTGCATCTCACCTGTGTCTCACCTGTGCCCTTCACCTGTAACTCACTCACCTGTGTTTGTCTCACCTACGTCTCACCTGTGTCTCCTGTGCCCCTCACCTGCATCTCACCTGTGTCTCCTGTGCCCCTCACCTGTGACTCACTCACCTGTGCGTCTCTCACCATGTCTAGATGCTGTGCGTGGGCGGGACTCCGGTCACGTTGCCTCCGTGCACCCAGCCGGGGCCCTGGGGCATCCGGTGTCTCCCAGGTGAGTCACTGCAGTCTAGATATAGACTGTTTCCCAGTCGCGGGTGCTGCGGTGGCTAGGAGATGTTAACTCCCTCGCCTGGTATACAGGAGGTCGTGGGTTCGATCCCGACTCTGACGATGCCAGTTGTCTATTTAGACTTTGCGGTGTCTCTCTCTCTCTCTCATTATCATCACGGTAGCTAGGAGATGTTAACTACCTCGCCTGCTATGCATGAGGTCGTGGCTTTGATCCCGACCTTGACTCCTGCTACTGCTGTGTATTGGTTTGGCCGCGTTGGGTTGTGGCGGTGGGGGGTGGGGGGGTCCGACGACACGGACGAGGCCGGATTATAACGTGCACGCTGCCCACCCGCCCGCCCAGGGAGACCGATGGCGAGTGGCGGGTTGGCATGGCTGCGAGATCGCCTCTCCGCTGCCTGGCCGTTGACGATTTATCTCTTTTTCTTCTCGTGCGCCGTGGGGTGGGCGCCCAGGATGCTTCCTGGAGGAGGAGAGCGGCACCTGCGCCCCATGCCCGCGCGGCTCCTTCATGGACCACATTAACACCAAACACAAGTGCCTCAGGTGCAGAAGCTGTAACGCAGGTACCGCTCCTCACGAGCCACGCAGGAGCCATGCACGAGCCACATGATCACTCCCAAGCCTTGCATGAGTCACATGACCACAAGCCACGCACAAAACACACACGAGTCACATGACCACGCACGGGTCACATGATCACTCCCAAGCCTTGCATGAGCCACATGACCACAAGCCACACGCAAAACACACACGAGTCACATGACCACGCACGGGTCACATGATCACTCCCAAGCCTTGCATGAGTCACATGACCACAAGCCACGCATGAGCCACGCGCAAAACACACACGAGTCACATGACCACATACGAGCCACATGATCACTCCCAAGCCTTGCATGAGCCACATGACCACAAGCCACGCACGAGCCACGCACAAATCACACACGAGTCACATGACCACGCACGAGTCACATGACCACGCACGACCCAAACCGCATTCAGGCAAGTTGACGCCCAGGTTGATTCTGTGCTGCGGGGTGAGAACGCAGCAGCAGCATGGAGACTCGCCAGCCCAGAGCACACAGCCAACCGCTCGCTCTTGCCTCCACCCACCCCCTCCCCTCGTCCCCCTGGAGCAGAGGTCGGCTTCGAGGAGGGGCGGCCGTGCGGTGCGCAGGGCCGACGCAGAGTGCCGCTGCCGCCCCGGCCTGCACTGCGTGAGCCCCGACTGCCCGCTCTGCCAGGGGCAGCCGCTATGCCCCCCGGGGCAGCAGCCCGGGCCCCCCCCGGAGCCCAGCTCCTGCACGCCCTGCCCAGCCGGCTCCTACTCCGACTCCACGTCCGCCACGCTGCCCTGCAGGGAGCACACGCGGTGAGTGCCGTGTTGGGGAGGTGATGATGGTGGTGTGTGGGTGTATGGTGGTGATGGACATGGTGGTCATGGTGTTGGTAGACATGGTGGTGATGGTGACGGGTGGTGGTATTGATGGTGGTGACGGTGGTGACGGTGGTGACGGTCGTGACGGTCGTAACGGTGGTGACGGTCGTGACGGTGGTGACGGTGGTGACGGTGGTGACGGTGGTGACGGGTGACGTGGTGACGGTGGTGACGGTGGTGACGGTGGTGACGGGTGACGGTGGTGTGTGTGTGTGTGCAGCTGTGAGGATTCTGGGTTGAGAGCCGTTGCCAATGGCACGGAGACCACGGACACAAAGTGTGAGGACCGAGGAGCGGCCTACTTCGCATTTGGTAAGCAGGGGGGGGGGGGCACGGGGACGTGGAGATAGAGCCACACGAAGACAAATATCCCCCGTGTAGCCTTAGCAGACTGTTGGGGCAAGTGCTGTTAGCGAGCAGCACCTATGAAGGCCGGCACAAGGGGGCGGGTGGCCAGCACCACGCCCGGCCACCGAGCGGCGATGTTGTTTACACGCCGCACCAGGTACACATTTGAGGTTGAGTCGACCTAGGGGAGGCCCAGGACCGGTTTAAATAATCGTCACCGGTGTTTGGCGGTGGCCATGAGCAGGAGTCGAACCCGGGTGGCCGGGTTCGTAGCGCAGCGCGGTGACCGCCACACCACCGCTCCCCACCACACGCACACCGTGACACGGAGTACGCCGCATGCGTGCTGGTGCTGAGAGCGAGTTGCCGCTGCTGTGCCCCCAGGATCGATTTGGGTGGTGATGGTGTCGCTGGCGGTGCTGGTGGTGCTCACGGTGCCGGCGGCGGTGGGGCTCTGCTTCGTACTTTACCGCAAAGGTGAGAGGCACGGCGCCCTCCGCACCGAGGCCGGCACCACCGCCCCAGGTCACAGAGGCCGAGCCAGGAGCGCCCAGGTTCCACTCCGGGTCTCGGTCGCCCAGCCACAGAGAATCACACCAGGGGCCCGTAGACTCGCACGGAGGCGCCCGTAGACTTTCACGTCAAGTTATTTTGATGACAGCGATGATGATGATGATGACGATGACAGCGAGCCACTGACGATGAGATGCTAGGTGGAGCCACTGTGGGTGGGGGCTGATGACACTTTCTGTGGCGCTCTCTGTAGGCTGCTGCAACAAGGAAAGAGGCAACGCAGCGGAGTTGGACGACAAGGAGGACAGCACGACGCACCTGCAGCCCTCCGACGAGGTGAGTGACACCTCCCTCCCTCCCCCACTCTCTCCCCTCCCTCCCTCCCCACCACCCCCTCCCTGGGCTACCACTGCATGTGCGTCTCCATGCTCGCTGTGGCCCCTGAGCGTGCCTTCTTCTCTTCGTGTCCTGCAGGAGAACGAAGATGACGCCACCAACGTCGCCAGCGTCGCCAGCGTCGCCAGCGTCGCCAGCGCTGTGGCCCCTCATGGTATGGTACACTCTCCCGTCACTCTCCCAATCGTCTTCGTAGCTGCGCTTGAAAACGCAACAACATAAACAACATAAACAACATAAACAACATAAACAACATAAACAACAACACGCGTTTACCTTTCTGCCCCCCCCCCCCCTCTTAGTTTCCAACTTCCTGATCAACGTGAACACTCACGTCATGCAACTGGGAGACTGGAATCGCTGCTCTGTGGACGGACATGAGCCGGGTTCCTCGGTCACATAATCAATAGGGGAGCAAACTAAGTCTAACTCACGGTTGGGGGGGGGCAGATAGATGACCCCCCCAGGGAAAGCCCCCCCCCCCTCCACACACACACCCGCACCTCGTGAGGGAACAGCAACAGCGTCGTCGGAACTGTCGCGGATGAAGAATGCCAGAAGAGGAGCCGAGGATGAGGATGAGGCCTTGCTGGTGGCGGTGGATCGCGGCTTCAGGAGAGGAGCGATGGACACTGGCCGAATGAGGGGGGGGGGGCACAATGGGGGGGCCCGCATCGCAGACTTTCTCGACGACGTCCTCAAGCGTACCGTGGGTACCTCGCCATCGCTTACTCCCCACGGGGGTTACGAACTTTTACCGTGCGAGGTGCCCGAATGTTTTTGGGCTGCGTGGCGATGCGCTGGTACCCAGGTGGCAGCGCTGGTCCTGACTGCGGCAGTTTCTCTCACGGCGACTCTTTAAATGGGTGTTTTTCTCACCCGCAATGCCGTCTTTTACGTTGACATTTATTGTACCTGTCGTATAATTAAGGGTTGCGAGGAGTGAGGATTGAACGCGGAAAAGACAAAGGCGACGGTGTTCGGAAGGGGAGGACATCGAGAAAGAAGTATAATGGCGGGAAAGTGGCAAGGTTTGCGAACGTCAAGGAACTTGCATAGTTGGGAATGCTCCGGACATGGGAAAATGACCGCGCGGGAGACACGGGAGACACGGGGCGCGAGGAACGCAAAGGCAAAAGGAGGTATGGCAGCGCTTCATACATCTGGAGAAGCAAGCGAATCGGCACAAGACCAAAGTGACCATCTGGAGGACGTGTGAGTGTTCAGTACGGCTTTGTACGCCGGCGAGAATTGGAGGTTTGAACAAAGACTGGCGGAGATACGAGACTGGCACTCAACATTGCATTGCTGCAGAAGGATGCTGTATCTATGCTGGAACCCAACAGTGAACCAACGCAGAAGTGAGAAAAATGCCTATAGATTGATTGTGGTTATATATATTCTTTATACATCGGTTGTGCGGTTGGGATTGTATTTATCAGAGTAATCGTGATGGGGTGGTTGGTACATCCCGGTGATTGATTGAATTGGCTGTTCGGCGCGATGTCCGACGTTTCGATGCGTGATGCCCGGCTCAATAAACCCGCAGCTTCCACCCGACGCACCTTCCGATTCGTGTGGTTGGCTACACGCGTAGGGTGTGAAAGAAGTTCAACGCGCGATACGAAACAACGCACGCCTGGGACCTGCTCGCTCATCGCCACGCATGGAGACCAACCCACCAGGAGGGCCCCAGGCATTATGACCTCACTGCTGCCCCCCCCATCCAAAACGATGACATCACCCCGCGCGTAATTTTGGTGACATCATAACCCCCCCACCCTACACGTTATCCACCGCCCACCGACCTGAGCTCAGATAGCCCGGCCCATTAATTAAGTAGCCCCGCCCACTATGGTGGCCACGCCCACTACTCGGGTAACTACTCAGGTGGTCCCGCCCACCAATCAGAGAGCCCCGCCCACTGCTTTTGTCGCTCCATCCACTGCTCAGGTAGGTATGGCTGACCTGGTATGGCCCACCCAATGTCTCACCCGGTATGGCCCACGTGGTATGGCTGACCTGGTATGACCCACCCAATGTCTCACCCGGTATGGCCCACGTGGTATGGCTGACCTGGTATGACCCACCCAATGTCTCACCCGGTATGGCCCACGTGGTATGGCTGACCTGGTATGACCCACCCAATGTCTCACCCGGTATGGCCCACGTGGTATGGCTGACCTGGTATGACCCACCCAATGTCTCACCCGGTATGGCCCACGTGGTATGGCTGACCTGGTATGACCCACCCAATGTCTCACCCGGTATGGCCCACGTGGTATGGCTGACCTGGTATGACCCACCCAATATGGCTCGCTCAGTGTGGATGTCTCGCCCAGAATGGCTCACCCGGTACGGCTGTCCTGCTACGGTTTACCCGGTGTGGGTCACTGGGTATGGCTCACCTGGTACGGCTCACCTGGTACGACTCACCTGAACACCACAGAGTTGCATGTCAGGCTGAAGGATGACCGCGGTCTGCTTCGAGTTCAGCCGCAGTGGCCAGTGAGTCTCCATCTCTTGCAGCCAGGGCGAGGTTCATCCGGGGTCGAAGTATGGACACCACGGTGGCTAGGAGATGTTAACTACCTCGCCTGGTACGCAGGAGGTCGTGGGTTCGATCCCGACCCTGACGCCTGCTGCTGTATATTTGGAGTTTGCGTGTCTCTCATCATCACGGTGGCTAGGAGATGTTAACTACCTCGCCTGGTACACAGGAGGTCGTGGCTTTGATCCCGACTCTGACGCCTGCTGCTGCTGTATATGTAGACTTTGCGGTGTCTCTCTCTCATCATCATCACGGTGGCTATGAGACGTTAACTACCTCGCCTGGTCTACAGGAGGTCGTGGATTCGATCCCGACTCTGACGCCTGCTGCTGCTGTATATGTAGACTTTGCGGTGTCTCTCTCTCCCCGTGGTCGCGTGGATTTTTCTCCGGACCCTTCCGGTTTTTCTCCCCCCACGTTTAGAATCAACGTCACGCGTTTAGAGTTATTTGGCGGCAATATCTTTCCGCGCGATGAAATCAGCCGCTTTCTTTAAGCAATCATTTGTGATAGCCAGGTCGCTTCTGAAAAAAATTGCTTATACAGCTCATTGGGGCCTTACCTGGTAAAAGTAAAAAAAATCAAACATCCGGCGTCAACAACACAAGACCTCATGTTTACTTTGGTCCATTGCACAATCTCCTGGAACGTGGTGTTGGTGGTTGTTCGTTACCTGCGGGCAACAACCCCTTGCGACTGCGTCACCGATGTCTCGGGCTGGGGGACCATACAAGGAAGCTTCGATTAGCACGGTTGGCTATGTACGGTGCGAAAGAAGTCGCAACACAAAGGGCACGGTGTGACGTCACCTCGGGTCACGTAACCTCAACGCCTCCGCACCCTCGCTTGTTTTATTTGTCAATCACGATGGTTTAATATTTATTTACTTATTTTTAACCACGATGCTTTATTTTATGGTTATTTCTTTTTTAACCACGATGCTTTATTTTTATATATTTATTTTTCAATCATGATGACTAGTTTTTTATTTTTTGATTTTTAAATCACGATGTTTTATTTGTATTTATTTATTAAGCATGATGCTTTACTTATTTATTGTAACCCTCGTGTTCTCTCTGTGTTAATCCGACCCTCAGTTGGACCGCCGAGTCAATTGGCAAAACTCGAGCCGTCGAGGCATTATTAATGTTTATTATTATTATACTCGCCTAAAGCCCGTCCAAGGACGAGTGTATTGCAGTTAGGGGCCGTCCATAAATGACGTCACGCGATTTTGAACCATTTTTGACCCCCCCCCCTCGTCACACGGCGTGACAAAAAGTCAGACCCCCCCTCAAATATGACGTCACAAAGCTCTGCCCCCCCCCAAAAAAAAATAAACATGCTTCAAATCGCTTTAAACTGTTGTCATCGTAGTGCGTATTTAATGTGGCGCTGCACTCTGATGTAGGAGAAAACATTTATTAAAAAGTCTATGTAATTAAGTAGAACGTGTCGTATATATTTATTTAAAGTTGCGCATTTTGATGTGACGTCACACTTCTCACCCCCCCCCCCCCGCCTCGTCACACATCGTCACAAATGTCTGACCCCCCCACCCCCACAGCAAGAAAATATTTTTTTTTTCCAAAAAATGTCTTGCTGTGGTTTTCACACCTGATGATGATGATTGCTTGTGTTGCAATCGAAACGTCGTGATACTTTTATTGTTTTATTATTATTTTATTATTTCCCTTCGACGTGACTTTACCGAAAGAACCAAGAATACAAAAATAATAAATCACGACGTTTCGATCGCAACACAAACGCGGTCGTCCTGCTGAACCAGTATATCAGTAAAGCTTTTCACACCGATGGCTGTGCTGGGTTGATGCCCAGTGGGTCACCATGCATCCCCTCTGTAGGTGCTGTAACACGTTACAATCCACCATCCCATCGATCCCTGTGCTGCTGTTTCAGTACTTTCAATTAACGCCCTGGTCTTCAGGAGTGCACCCTGGGCATAAATCGGGGTTTGACGAAATATTGATTTTGGCTAGATATTGTTTATACATCGGTTGTGGGATCGACTTGGTATTGCGATTATATTGATCGTGATGGGTGGTGGTGAAGCCCAGCGAGTGCTAGGCGCGTTGTCCGACGTTTCGATGCGTGATGCCCGGTGGAGTTAATAAACCCGCGACCTCCACCCGACGCACCTTGGGGCCGTCCATAAATGACGTCACGCACCTAGGGTGGGGGGTGGTTCAGACATTTGTGACGATGTGTGACGAGAGGGGGGGGTCAAATATCGGAGGGCCCCAGGCATTATGACCTCACTGCTGCCCCACCCCCCCCACACATCCAAACGATGACGTCATCCCGCACGTGATTTTGGTGACGTCATACCCCCCTACCCGACTCGTTATCCACCGCCCGGCCCATTAACTAAGTAGCCCCGCCCACTTGTCGGTAGCCCCCACCCACTACGCAGATAGCCCCGCCCACTATTTTGGTAACCACGCCTACTTATCTGGTTAGCCCCGCCCACCACTCAGATAGCCCCGCCCACTATTCAGATAGCCCCGCCCACTATTTTGGTAACCACGCCTACTTACCTGGTTAGCCACGCCCACTACTCAGATAGCCCCACCCACTACGCAGATAGCCCCGCCCACTATTTTGTTAACCACGCCTACTTATCTGGTTAGCCACGCCCACTACTCAGATAGCCCCACCCACCACTCAGATAGCCCCGCCCACTATTTTGGTAACCACGCCTACTTATCTGGTTAGCCACGCCCACTACTCAGGTGACCCACTGCTCGGCTCAAACCACTGCTCAGGTGGCTGCTGCCAGACGCAACAGTCGGTGTGCCTTGAAGACCAAAGTGTCGTCAGCATGTTGTTATCACGACGACGAGGCGGGTTTACCAGGCAGATCTCGTTTGTCAGGTCCTGCCAGGTTGCTACGGTGGCGTTGGGCGATGTTGCCGCTGTGCGTGACCCCATTTTAGTGATGTGAAAGTCACTCTTGAACGTGGCCGATACCAGTTACAAGCCATGGCAAAGGTTTGTTTATTTGGGTTAGGTCACGTAAATATAAACGTGTCGCTGAACGCGACCTAACCGAAAGCAATCTTTGCTGTGGATGATATCGGTCGCGAAAGGCTACACGTGTTAAAGCGACCGGCTACCACGTGTGTGTGTTAGAACTGGGGGAGAGAGAGAGACACAAACTGCACACGGAGTGGCGCCCCAGTCGGGACTCTAACCGAGGCCCTGTTTGTCGTGAGGTTCGAGGGCCCCCACCGCCGCCACCCCACCCACCACAGCCACCCACCACCACACCCACCCACCCACCCACCACCCACCCACCACACCCACCACCCACACCACCACCACACCACCCACCACCCACCCACCACCCACCCACCACCACCCACACCCACCACCCACCACCCACCCACCACCACCACCACCACGCCACCACCGCACCACCACGCCGCCACCCACCACCGCCGCCACACCACCGCGCCACCCACCACCGCCGCCACCCACCACCGCCGCCACCACCCGCCGCCACCCACCACCGCCGCCACCCACCACCGCCGCCACCCACCACCGCAGCCACCCACCACCGCCGCCACCCACCACGCGCCACCCACCACGCCGCCACCCACCACCGCCGCCACCCACCACCGCCGCCACCCACCACCGCCGCACCACCACCGCCGCCACCCACACCGCCGCCACCCACCACCGCCGCCACCCACCACCGCCGCCACCCACCACCGCCGCCACCCACCCCGCCGCCACCCACCACCGCCGCCACCCACCACCGCCGCCACCACCACCGCCGCCACCCACCACCGCCGCCACCCACCACCGCCGCCACCCACCACCGCCGCCACCCACCACCGCCGCCACCCACCACCGCCGCCCACCACCACCGCCGCCACCCACCACCGCCGCCACACCACCGCCGCCCCACCCACCACCGCCACCACCACCGCCGCCACCCACCACCGCCGCCACCCACCACCGCCCACCACCACCGCCGCCACCC